AAAAAATTACCTATATTAAAAATGATAGGAATCGATTCAGTAAACGATTCTGAACAAACTACTTTCTCAAAGTGCGTTAATTATGTTACGTGTTGTATATACATAGATGACGAGAGTCAAAAAAGTGGAAAGTTTTTTGAGTTGCTGTTAATTCAATTACAAATTCGATTCGAAATAAAAAGTCAATACCTTGAAAATAATACTTCATCTTAACTTATAAAATTACAGCATTTTCATACCTGAAGTGAAACACAAATATTGCACATACATGAAAAGTCAGTTATTTCAATAACAATCCACTACCATGATATAAAACATTTGCTAATTTAATAGAAAATTTTATATCTGTTAGTTCAGCTATCTCTTATGGCTATGGTATTTGTACCCTCAACACCGGCGAGAGAAGACATGGCGCAAGCGGCACCCTACATCAATGACGTTTACGGAGCGAATACTACAAACGAACGCATCACCTGTTAATGGATTGCCGCTTCTGTTCCGAGAATTTCAACCTGAAAAATAAACCCCGTGGTCGTTCGAAAACTTTGGTCGACAACGACGACGGTTACAGGCGATTGTAGAAGCTGATGATACACACGCACACGCACACGCACACGCACATGCACAGTCTCCTCTATAGATTGTTTGTTTGTGTTTGTTGTTCTATAGATCATCAGAAAGATGTATATCTCTTATTTTAGTTTTTCTCCGTTAACTCTTACGACACCCACGGCAAAATTATTTTGCAAAATTGATTAAATACTACTACTGGCAAAATTAATTAAATTGTGCAAACGCGCACGCGCACGCGCGGCACGCGCACGCGCACGCACACGCACACGCACATGCACACGCACACGCACACGCACACGCACACGCACACGCACACGCACACGCACACGCACACGCACCCGCACACGCACACGCACACGCACACGCACACGCACACGCACACGCACACACACGCACACGCACACGCACACGCACACGCACACGCACACGCACACTCACACGCACACCCACACGCACACGCACAGGCACACGCACAGGTACACGCACACGCACACGCACACGCACACGCACACGCACACGCACACGCTCACGCACACGCACACGCACACGCACACGCACACGCTCACGCACACGCACACGCACACGCACACGCACACGCACACGCACACGCACACGCACACGCACACGCACACGCACACGCACACGCACACGCACACGCGCACGCACACGCACACGCACACGCAAACGCACACGCACACGCACAAGCACACGCACACGCACATGCACGCGCACACGCACACGCACACGCACACGAACACTCACAATATGAAACACAGCAGCATCATTAGCCGCTATTTTAGGCTGGTATTCTGTGAGAGCGTGGTCCTTCTCCGGTCGAGCCGACCCCTTCGTGCTACAACTATACAATTAATATAATCACGTTGGCAAATTAAAAAACAAAAAAAATAATTAAATAACTTTATTCTTATAAAAAATGTACATATATAAATAACTGTATAATCATTTACGATTTAGAGGTATTTTAATATATACAATAACGACCTTTTTAAGATACCTAGTGGCACTGTTCGTAAAGTAAGTACATCATTAAATTTTATAATACTCGCGCGATGTTAATACTCGTATATGTGTTTTTTAATAAATAATTACAGTATTCATGACGCATAAGAGTTAACGATGTATGAAATAAGAATAAAAGCGTGAAAATGAGATAGCATTAAACAGACCGCATAATATGGCATAAAGAATAAAGAAGGTTTGCAATAAAATGTTATTGAACATGTTTCTTACATTTCGCTCTTGTTTAGGTTGAAAAGTAATCCATAAATTATTTAATCAAAATCTAGTAATATACCTTTTATGTAAACCTCACCTGCACGTGGTGTACTCTGCTGACTGGCGGAATAGATCCTGGCTTCCGAGCGTTGCCGGGAAATTCTTCTAAAAATGTCGAAAATTATTTTATTATATATTATTTTTATCGAATTATATATTTAATGCGTATCCGGCACAAAATTAACATTACGACGTTATTGACTCCCACATAATCTATCAGTAAAATTTATAAATACCGAGCAGTAATATTTTTGTAAACTTCCTTTTCTTAAAGAATTTATTTAAAAGAAAACTGTAAATAATAATAATCTCTCTTGTGATCTTAGCATTCTACTATAGACTAATAAATAAACTATTGTAATGTAACTGAATCTTTTGTTGACAATTGAGCATACTCAATAACTAAATATTTTAATTCGTTCCCTTGTTGCCATTAAAAAGGACCACAAAAAAGTAAGGAACTGAAAAGTATTAAATGATAGACAAAAGTTGCCAAAGCAATCCAAAAATTAAATGTAGTGCAAGATGATAGTTAAGAAAGAGTCATTCGATATTCATAAGTAACCTAACAAAAATGTCAAGATAAGTATTTAGATTTCTTGAAAAAGGGTGTCTGACTTGACCCAGGCAATCGATTTTCAAAATCACCGCAAAATAACAATCCCCAACCAATTTTAAATTCCCCGTAATTTGGGGAATTCCCCACATGTTGGCAATGCTGAATAGGTGTAAATTGCGAGGCGACACGAGTTGGTCGAAAGGCAGCAGCGCGTGAGTGAAAGGGAAGGATAGAATGAGCGTGAATACAGTTTGTTTCGCACCGAGCTAGATAAAAAGAGTTCAGCGCCCGCGCGTTTTTTGACCCCATAATTAGCTGATTTCAGGTTTATTTTCATTGCTGGTTTTATGTTTCATTATTTTCATGATTTTTTTATGCAATTATCGTTTCTTATTTTTAATTATAAGGTGAACGATTATTCATTGAGCTGCCATCGCTCATCCATAATATGTAATTAAATGAAAATGAAATGTAATAATAATTAAGTTAAATATATTATTGGTAGAATTAAGTGAAAATTACGTGACAGAGTCATGCTGTAGATATATTAGCATTATAGTTGAAGCACGAATGGGTCGGCTCGACCAGGGAAGGAACGCTCTACAGAATACCAGCAGCGTAATATAGCAGCTTAACGCTATTGTGTTTGGTATGGTGAACCGGAGATCTTTGTTACTGGAAAGTAGGCATTCCATCATAGTACTGACGGGTAACAACGTATCTGCATTTTGATTCGTAATCGAGGATAGATGTAGATGTCTATGGGCTACAGTAACCACTTACCATCAGATGGAATGTGTGCTTGTTTTTACCCTTATGCTATAAAAACAGATTGGGAAAAATACGAAGTAAGTAGGTATATAACAAAGAAATGGTTAAATAACTTCCAATGATCAAACGAGTATCTCGTTTCATGAAGGTCAATTTGGGACGCTGTCGTATTTAGAATGTTGTTGTTAGCAGTAACAACAACATACATGCTACATGGAAGCCAATAAAGTCAAATTTTAAGCCATGTAATCAGTGGCGTGGTATTATTGGCTGCCTGGAACCCCTAGATCTAAAAATTCCGCCCTCTCGGCAGCCCAATTCATTTTGTAAGTATCTTAAAAATATTAATACGAAATTTAAAAATAAACAAAATAATGTCATGTACGGTGAAACCTTACATCTTTGCCCACATATTTCGGTTTTTATTACTTTTTTCAAAAAATATCTACTTTATTTTGATGGTTGCTAAAGTTTTAAACGACACTATATACAACAAATAAACTGTCAAAACCAGGTGAATTAATTCCCAACAGATGATGAGAAAAAAAAACAGACGCGGGCAAAGTTATCTCCACTTTCTTACATCTTTGCTCAACTTAAATTTCTCAGCAAGTATAAGCTCTATGACTTTGATTTTAAGATATATTGTTAGCAAATCGACGATATTGAATACCAATACATTTTCAAATAAATTGAAGTCCATTTTAAGTTTTAATGGCGGTGGGCAATGTTATCACCACATTTAGTCACACTTTCATACTAAGAGATTTGAGGTGCTAGGGCTGTGCCTCAGATGAAAGGAAAATAATAAATTGATTTTGAGGCATTGTATTTTTTATTTTTAAAATTAAAAACAACAACGAATTAAACAACAACAAAAATCAAGAAAATCAATGTTTATAGGTAGTTGGTAGGTAACGTACCTATTAAATATTAATAAAAAATAAAAAAGGTCTCTGCTAACGTAAGCGTGCCTGTTAGTTACCTGCGTGAGTATTAGTTTAAAAAAAAGTAAGCAGCGCAGAAATTTTTTTATCACACGCACCCAAGGCAGATTATCGCTCCTCATCCAAAAAAAAAAAAATAACAAGATATCTCTTCTAGAACAAAATATACCAAAATTAACATATAACAGCCTACTACATTATCCTTATAGTGCTTAGTTCAAGAATTACCTTCTGAAATTAACAAATTTAAAAAAAAAAAAAACTACTACTACTACTACGTTTCATATTTGCGTTTTAATTTTTAAGTAAATTATTTTATACTTTTTTATATAATACTCAGTTACAATTATTATATAATACTCAGTCTTCTTGAAATCATAAGAGTTTTCCAGAACAGTCTATAAATCTACAATGTTGACATTATAATGCTAAATCGAGCATCCTCTAAATACACATTTGCATATAATTAAAAATAAATCTTATTCGAAATCAACATTGTTGTACCTATTGTAAATAAATTTTAGGTGTACGTGATAAAATATTTAAAAATAAGGTTTAACCTTTTACTTTTACCTACCTACATTATATTGTGATAAATTAAGTGAGATCTAATAATCAAAATATAAGTAGTCATCATCATCATGTAGAACAAACTCTGTTTCATTGGTATTAATTGTCAGTAAATTTACGGTTTTGACAATATTCTTACACTCAATTATTTCTACTTCTTGTTTTTTGGTTTTTATAAACTTAGTATTGTCTTTTCTACCTGTTCGTCTGAAAAAATGAGTACATTTACTTTACCATTTCCTACTTTTGCTATGATTTCATCGACAAAATAATCAATTTTTATTTTAAAAGTATCTGATTAGTATAATATCCCCAACAGCATAATTGACCTTAGAACAAGCTTCACTTAAATGGTCGTCGTAGCTCGATGAAGGTTTTTCTGTTTCCGCTGCTATTTTTGTTTTATTATCTTTCATTGACTGTGTTTTAGGCTTTTTTGTATTTAAACTTTGAATGTCTTTGTCGGGCTTATCAGATTCTATGTCACAGATATCTGATTTAATGTGAATACTAATGTTGATATCACTATTACTTGTTTCACTTATATTTCTCTTATATGTTTTCCAGGCTGGTTTTAATATTCGTTCAATGGTTGATTTGTTGATTTTTGTTTTTTTCTTTGGTTTATTAGTTTTTTTTCCGGACTTTCGATTGCTGTTTACTTTCCTATCTGCACATTTGCTTATTTCGTTATTTAAATGAGTATGTCTAAAAGTTTTGTTTTCTTTGCCAGTATTTTTGTCAGTCTCCAAATTAACTTTAGTTTCATTAGTAGAAGTATTTATTTCGGTTAAAATATTTTGTTTTGAGTCTTGTAACTTTTCGTTGTATTTAGTATTTTTGTACTTTTTTATATTTAAGTTGTTTGCATTTAATTCTTCTCTCTTCTCATTTAAGTCTATAATTTGTTGTGTGCATCCTGACAGGTTATCACATATGACCACCTTTTTCCCGGCAAACCTTCCGCCCATTTTAAAACTATTGTTTTGAAGTAGTCCTCAAAAGTGGACAAATCGAACAACCCAGATTTAGTGCGGTTATATCTTGGGCCTCGTGGACCGCCTCTTATCCATTCTGAATAAAGATTTTCTGATTTATACACAACATATGGTGGTAGGTTCGTTCCGTCTACGCTTGCCGAAAACATCAATGAAATGGCTCCTTTCGTTGAATTTAATACCCTTTCAGGGTACTTCACCTCTCTATGAAAAATGCATTTCAATGATCCAGGATCATTACTTAAATTTCTTTCATCTAAGTTTAATATGTTTGACGGGGGAACGTCTGTCATACTTTCTTCTAAATTTTTGAAATAATCTAAAAATTCTTCAACACTTTTTTCAGCTTGTGTTTTTTTATGTTTTGGCAAGATCTTACTGTTAGTTCTGAAGCATTTCGCTCTAAAAAAACTCGAAATCCATTGTTCTCCTGGTTGATTTCCATGAAAAATTGCCTCACGCCCATTTTTTTAAAATATTCATATATGATTATTCGCAAGTCAAGTTTTGATAATGGACAACCAAAATCGCCAGTTGCAACTGCCACTTTTATTATATTCTTCTCTTCTTCCTCAGTAAGTCGCGTTGGAGCTCCTATTTTTTTTTGGTGCAGCTCTTGAACTTTCTTCAGAAGGGGCCGTCTCGGTATACCAAGTCTGCGAGATCTAACATCTCATCAGTATAATTTTTGTAATACCTGGCACCGAGGCGTCTTCGGTTTTGCTTTTTAGGTTTCACCATCCTGCAAATAAATAGAATAGTACTAGGTAAGTACTTTTAGAAAATTATCTCAGAAATTAACTCCGATAGTTGAGGTAAGGAAAAGTAGACGCCGACAATACTTATTTAATATAATACGAGGCCAGCTTATACCGATTTTGTTACCACTGATGTACGTGGTTCACCTATTATGCGTACCAATCCATTTTGTCGGTCATTTTTGTCTGCGATCTTTAATGTCTAAAATCGTAATTCTCTTTTAGACTTAAAATTTTTTTTGCAAACGAAATGACGCATAAATCTTATTAAAAAACTTTAGCCTGAAACTGAGAATGTTTAAGCTCTCTCTTTTGGGAATCTAGCGGTTTCTGACAAAAATCCCGACAAATATATATACCTATTTATTATATTTAATATATATATAAAACAGCATCTAGTTACCTATATAGTTATCAGAACAGTAGTTTAGTTCTCAGTGAACGGTAGTTATATTATATAGGTAGTATTATAGTGTATATATTTTTTTTTATGTACTATATACATTTATTTATTTTATTAAGTATACCTATATATTTTCAATTTATTATATATGGTTTTTATTTATTATGCCTAGGTACATGTTTCCTTATTTTTTTTTCAATAGTGTCGACCCTATTACCCCATTTTTGAGCTGGGCAATGTTGTCGACCTCAGTCTATAAAATTGCTTACAACATTGCCCACACAATTTTCTCGTTAAGACAGTTGTAAGAAAGAGACCATGATTAAAAGCAGCAACAATTAATGCCCTAAACGTAAATAATAATGAATCTTACCTGCGCAGCGTTTCGTGGCAATGCGGGATGCAAAACTGCAACAATGTTTTTGCACCACCTTCGACACTGTCACTCTAAAGGTTGCTGACAGATGACTGAATGTAGTTAGCTGCGGTTGTAGTAGTCAGTGTTGCCAAACATATGTTCTAGTTTTCTCTAGGTACCATACAAAGTTGCCCGACTTAAAATTAAATTGCTATCGGTAGTTTTAGTTAATTTTCGTGTTTGGGCAAAGTTGTCCCCCAAGGGCAAAGTTGTAAGGTTTCACGGTATCTATTTTAATTATACTTATGTCTACCCTTGCGTACGTTAGTACAGATTATCTCTATTTTTAGAACGAGCTATGCTATCGTTATATTATTTCTATATATAAAATCTATTGTTGTCCGTTAGTTTTGCTAAAATTCGAAAAAGGCTGGATCGGTTTTGATGAAATTTATTTGTGTGTTTTAGTTTCTGCCTCAAACATGAAAAGTAATTTAAGTCTATGAAAGTAACTTATTACTATTAATTTCAATATCTCTATCGTCACTGCTGGTTTATGTACAGGTATTTTCATGTTTTTTTTTATGAAATTATCGTTTCATTTAACTATACTAACATGATGAAGCGTGAATTAAGCCAATTAAACGTTGTAAAAAATGATTTTTTCCATCGGGATAGATTTTCTTTTCGTTCCATCATCAAAGGTATACTTAGTACTATCGTCTGTCTTCGTTTTCAGGGGCGTTTTACTAACACCCGCTATATTGTTATCAGATTTTTATTTATACTTTATTGATATTAAGATTTTTTGGAACAGAAATGTGTCAGATAGCTGCTCTGTAATAAGAGGCAGCGACAGAATAATGGTGCTGTGGCCGTGACTAAGCTGCATCATTTTTCGTTGCCGAAACCCAATGTATTTGTGTATATTGTTTTTTTGCTTTGCTTTGTAGTTGTAGTTACTCTATATTATGCATTGTGTTGTGTGTGTGCGTGGAAGAAGTCATAATCCATTTTGCTAGTTATATATATACCAAAACAAGTATAGTGCACAACCGGTGTGTGATCTTAGTGATGACATTTAGATCTATAATGCTGAAAATATAGTCCTTTACTGTTAAACGTGTAAGAAAGCTTGAGAGCTATAGAGAGTAGATCTCTCTCTGCTCGGAGATGCCATAATGATCCTCATTATCCGCAGTAGAACCATAGTTACCGATATAGCTCAACGGATCAGTAAACTTAATTGGGAATTGGTTGAATATAGCTCAAAAGACCGACAACCGATAGGGACGAAAGGTTTCCGAAGAGTAACGTCGTACCTGTTAGTATATGATTACCTGATAGTAGATGAATTGGCAACTTGGTAAAAGATGCGGGAAGTCGACGAATGCAGGTGATTTTGTAGCAAACCTTAGAGGAGGTCTCTGTTAAGTAGTGGACTTACGATGGTCAGTAATAATTATGAAGAATTATTAAGTCGATATGATGATGCAATCCTTAATTATTCATTTAATATTTATTTAAGACATCATAGAGGTATTTAATCATGCCGCATGTTAAAAGAGTTTTAAGTTTTTAAATTTAAGTTTTATTTAGATAATAGGATTTAAGCATTAATTATTACTTTGATCTTATTATGAGACATCCTTTCATATTTAAATATTCTGTATGACAAAGGAGCTATAATAAAATTTGTTTACACTAATTAATAAAAGAACAAAAGATTGCCTTATGCCATGTTAATTTATTAAAAGGGGATCCATTGTTTCTTTTCACACAGTATAATCATTAGATTTTTTTTTATAGAAGAGGGGGCCAACGAGCACACGGTTCACCTGATGTTAAATGACTACCGCAGCCCACGAACAGTCGCAACACCGGGGGAATTACAGGTGCGTTGCCGTCAGCTGGCCGTATGAAGATGCTTAAGGTCGCTCAGCGAGCTATGAAAAGGGCTAAGTTCGGGATTTCTCTGCGTGTTAAACTTATAAATGAGGATATCCGCAGTAGAACCAGAGAGACCGACATAGCCCAACGGATTAGTCAGCTGAAGTGGCAATGGGCCGGCCATATAGCTCGAAGAACCAACAACCGATGAATAAAAAAAAGGTTATTGAGTGGCAGCCTCGTACTGCTACTCGTAGTGTAGGACGACCCCCCACTAGATGGAGTGACGACCTGGTAAGACATGCAGAAAGTCGATTGATGCAGGTGGCTCAGGACCGAGGTTTGTGGCTTTCCTTGGGAAGGCCTATGTTCAGCAGTGGTTTTGTGAGGTGTAATGATGATGATGATGTATGAACAATAATAATGGGCCGTCAAAATAGGTTACTTTAAGGTCTTTAATTAAATTTCGTAATTTCTTTGTTTGAAAAAAAATTTTTTTAATCGCCGTAGAAAACTAGTACAATAAAAAAACTTCATTTCTTGATAATACAATCTAATTATTTATTATCAGTGTTGCCACCCGTCATATTAATTACACATCGAAATCGATAGTTCATATTTAATATTATATACTCGTACGTTTATTTATACGCACTTTCTTCTTAGCTATAACTCGTATCGTAATGTGATAGACAATTGTTACATTCTTATAAAACTGTTATTTTAATTAAAATTAAAAAAAAATATAAAATAATTATTAATAATCAGTGTTGCCACCTCATAATTTACTTAAAGTTATATATATTTTACATGTAATTATACGCAATTGTTTATACTTTATTGATATTAAGATTTTATGGAACAGAAATGTGTCAGATAGCTGCTCTGTAATAAGAGGCAGCGACAGAATAATGGTGCTGTGGCCGTGACTAAGCTGCATCATTTTTCGTTGCCGAAACCCAATGTATTTGTGTATATTGTTTTTTTGCTTTGCTTTGTAGTTGTAGTTACTCTATATTATGCATTGTGTTGTGTGTGTGCGTGGAAGAAGTCATAATCCATTTTGCTAGTTATATATATACCAAAACAAGTATAGTGCACAACAGGTGTGTGATCTTAGTGATGACATTTAGATCTATAATGCTGAAAATATAGTCCTTTACTGTTATACGTGTAAGAAAGCTTGAGAGCTATAGAGAGTAGATCTCTCTCTGCTCGGAGATGCCATAATGATCCTCATTATCCGCAGTAGAACCATAGTTACCGATATAGCTCAACGGATCAGTAAACTTAATTGGGAATTGGTTGAATATAGCTCAAAAGACCGACAACCGATAGGGACGAAAGGTTTCCGAAGGGTAACGTCGTACCTGTTAGTATATGATTACCTGATAGTAGATGAATTGGCAACTTGGTAAAAGATGCGGGAAGTCGACGAATGCAGGTGATTTTGTAGCAAACCTTAGAGGAGGTCTCTGTTAAGTAGTGGACTTACGATGGTCAGTAATAATTATGAAGAATTATTAAGTCGATATGATGATGCAATCCTTAATTATTCATTTAA